AATAGCTGATGAAAACATTTCCATATATGTAAACTGAATGCAAAAATCAGCGTGATGCTGCTGGCCGAAAAGGTGCACCTGCAGCATGCAAAATGTGTGCAGCTCATCTTTGTTTGGCGTTTGTACCATCCACCTCTTACCCTCTTTGACTTGCCATAGGGCGTAGGCTCACTTAGGGCATGCAGATGCAAACAAAGTTAGCCTGTGATCACTGCAAAGGACAGCAATGGGCAATACCTTCCTGTGAAACAAACTATAACATGCTAGCATCCTCAATTACTCTAGCTGGCTGTCTTCCACGTGTGACTCAGAGACACCAAGCCTCGGAAATGTGACTTGTGAACACCTATTAATCTGTTTACAAAATCATTCGCTGCAGAAAAGAGCTTTCACAAACATATGGTGGTGGCAACTCAGGGATGTTTATCATAATCTTTAAAGAAGATGATTGTCAGACAGGTCTTAAATATTAAGGGCTTTTCTGTTAGCAGGCTTTTTTAAACAATAACCCTCAAATGACAGTCAATGGATTTTATTAGCTATGGCCTCTTCAGCCAGGTTTCCTTTAGACTGAAGCATGTTATTCATTTTTTAGTAATTTAAATAATTTTGGGGGTATTTCTTGGGGAATGCTACCCTGGTGCAAGATAGCTGTTTGTTCCGGACTGAGTCTTTACATCATTTTATTATCATTTATGTTGCTTGTGAAACAGACAATTCTAGAGTAGCAATACGATGAGAAAAAGGACAGACTCTCTATGGTGTTCATTATTTGAAATTAGCTGCTTTGTATTATTTGAAATCTCTGTGTGCTAGATAACAAAAATCTCAACAGACCATTCAAACAGATGACTTATAGAAATTAAAGCCCAAAATAAGCAATGAGTCCAATTTGTGGAAACAATGGAATTAATAATTTGCAGAGTCTAGAGCATTTTCAGATTTTAAAAATTGTGAAAAATAAGACATTTAACTGAACTGTGGGAAAACTGATTTTTTTTGCTTCAGCAGTGCAGAAAATCTTTATCCACCACCAATTAGGTCATTTCCTCCTGCCATCAACACAACCTCTAATAACAATTTAGATGCCATCTCCCAAACTCTCCTTTTAAATAATAAAAAAAAATATGGAAAAAATTCTGCTTTTTTCACATGTACACCACATTTTGAGAGCTATTTTCTTGTCACCCACCCTCACATCTCACTTCTGCACCCTCCCAGACCTTGCACAGCCACCCACAGCCCCCTCCACACATTGGACTCCTCATTTTGGCCTCACCCCAGAGCCTAGGGGGGCCCCACAAAAATATATTAGCCCCAGACCCCCAGAAGAGGGTGATGCTTATCAGTTACCATTTAACTGGTGGCCTGGCTGAACAGTGGGACTGCTCCAGCCCGGCTGAACCAGTTCTCACACCCTGGTGGGCCCCTAGCCTAGCTAGAGCAGCCCACCCCATTTAAGCAGTTAACCTGTTAATGGACTGAATAGGCTTTTACATCCCTACCCCCAACCTAAAAAAGGTTCCCCAACTTCTGGTCTGATTGCCATATTTGGGGTCAGAAAGAATTTTCCTTGGGGTCAGATTGGCAGAGACCCAGGGAGAAGGAGATAAGGAGTTGTCTTCCTCCATAGCTTGGGATATGTGTCACCTGCTACTTTGACAGAGTAAATGCTGAATTCTCTAGAACTGGAAGACTTCAAGTCATGATCTGAGGATTTCAATAGATCATTAAAAGGCGATGGACCTATTCCCGGAGTAGGTCGGTGAGCGTCTGTGCTCTGCGCCTACTTTTCAGGCAAATTGTCTCTTCTGGTCTAGAGGTCTATGAGTCTGACACCTGGTGAGCCATGTTCATAGAATCATTAAAAAGTGTCTCCCAAATTATGTCAGACTAGCACGATGTCCCATGTTTGCACTGCTTGACCAATATTAACATAGCCACACCAGTAACTGTCCCATAGAATATAGGTCAGGCCTTTAAGCACCCCTTGAAGCTTGCCATCCTGGCCCCATTCGTGGGCAGATATTCCCCAGAAATATTTTCATAGAATCACAGAACACTAGAACGGGAAGGGACGTCGAGAGGTCATCGAGTCCTGTCCCCTGCCCTCACGGCAAGATCCAGTACCATCTCGACCATCCCTGATAGATGTCTATCCAACCTGCTCTTAAATCTCGCCAGAGATGGAGATTCCACAACCTCTCTAGGCAATTTATTCCAGTGTTTAACCACCCTCACAGTTAAGAAGCTTTTCCTAATGTCCAACCTAAACCTCCCTTGCTGCAGTTTAAGCCCATTGCATCTTGTCATATCATCAGAGGCCCAGGAGAACAATTTTTTTCCCTCTTCCCTGTGACACCCTTTTAGATACTTGAAAACCGCTATCATGTCCCCTCTGTCTTTTTCTTTCCAAACTAAACAAGCCTAGTTCTTTCAGTCTTCCCTTATAGCTCATGTTCTCTAGATCTTTAATCATTCTTGTTGCTCTTCTCTGGACCCTCTGTAATTTCTTCAGATCTGTCTTGAAAGAGTTTAAAAGCTTATGACCTGATTTTCGGAGGCGCTGATCACCCCAGTCTACCACAGTCAACACACATGCTCAGCATCTCTGAAAATTCATATTCATTTCAGAAAACGTCAAACAATGTCATGTTACAAGGTCAAAACTACTTCAAGTTCCTAATGTGGCTGGGAGGAGACTCTTCCATCCAGGAGGGGTTCCAAAATAGCTGCTGGATTTCATGAACTGCCCCTGAATGAGATCCTCTGGAATCTGCCTGCAAGAATAGCTGTTGAGTTACTAATTTAGGGGTGATTGTGCAAATGAGACTATCGTAGCATGGCAGCAAACATGCTAATAACATGTTTTTAAGCCTGAGCACAATCTTGAGCTAGACATTCAGAGAAGCCCCGAGAAGATGAAAACTGAGCTGAGCGCTCACAAATGTAAACAGTGTTTCACGTTGTCTCCCGAAACCTGACACACTGCAAATCTCCCATCTTCGTGAAATCATTACAATGAAAGACAATGAAAGCTAAAGGGCAGTCCTTACTCTGGCAAAATCCCCTTTGACTCCAGTGAGAGGTGTAACACCCAAATAAGGGCGTTTGGATTTGGCTTCAAACTGGATGCCTGATGTGGGCTATTGTTCCCCAATAATTATATGAAATTTCAAGTAGCTCATGGGCTATCCAACACTCTGTATCTAGCCTTTCTTGGAGACACAGCTGGAAGATGGAATCGGTTGTTAAATATTTACTCCAGTTAACCTGTCCCAGGATAATTTTAACAGCCACCCCAGCTGAACAGTACATGTCTACTTTAATTAAAACCCAACATAAAAGCGATTAACAAAGATCACTCACTGACTCCATTTCCAAAAAACCTGCCTGCATTCTTCTCCCAAATGAGAGCACACATCAGGTTAAAGAGAGGAGGTTTTGGCAAGTCCCCTTTTTCTTTAAAGCTAAATCTCAATTTACATAGGCAGTTGCTCTCTTTTGAAGAAATGGAGGTATCACAATTAGCAGATTCGCAGACACTACTTACTTCTTGTCATTTCATCATTCTCTTTGCAAATGGTTTGTTTCAGCTGCTCAATCCTCATCTTGCAAGACATTATTTTCCATCTCTGAAAGAGAACATGCCATGACTGGCAACTTGAACCCATCACCTTCCACTTAACAACACTGGCAGCTAAAACTCAGAAGTAGTGGGGTATTTTTTAACAAGATCAGATCCCAAGAATTTCAAATTGTCTCATCTGTGTACAGAAGACTGCCATAAGCAAACAGAAACTTCCTATGGTAAAGTCAGGCAAAAACAAAGGGTTACTGACTAAACACATAACCAGAAATGAATACTGGTACAGGTTGAACCCCTCTGTCCCAGCAATATCCATGGTCTGGCAGGACCACTGATGTTGCTGGACCAGAGAGCCTCTGGATCGGCCACAGAGCCGGAAGCCCAGTGGCCCAGGATACTGGTCTCCCATCTGGCAATTTGCTGACGGACTGTGAGAGAGCCCGGAGTCCATCAGCAGAAGGACTGATTTCCTCTGGTCCAGCAAATTTCCTCCTTTGGGACCGATCAGGTCCCAAAGGCACTGAAGCAGGGAAGTCCTACCTGTACTTTGCAAAATCAACTTCAGTTTTATTAGGATCATGTTTTTCAGGCAGACAGTATAAAACTTTCTCCAAGTTAAAATGAAACAATCAGCAAGATCTAAGAATACAAAAAATTAGAAAGCTACTGGAGACTTCAAATAACTCACCAGTTGATCAGTTATCCTTTTGCCTTCCATGGCCTTTAAAACACTATGGAAAAAAGACCACAACTGAAGATTAACTGACAATTATGATTATATATGGCAAATATAAGAGGGCAGAATGGTTTATCTAAAATTATTATAATCAATCAATGATAATGCTACCAAAAACTAAACAATAACTTACTAGTTTTGGAATTCACTTTGCTTGTTTTTAAGATGCTTTAATCGCTCTTTCTTGTCTAAAAACCTGTAAGAGAACAGAGTGATTTGTTTATTGATTTTATGAACAAAGTATTCTATACAATGAGATAATGCACAGTATCTGAAACACTAATAAGAGTGTAGTAAGTTGAGGGTCAGTAATATGGAATCAGCAGGCCTAAGGCCTGCAATATGGAAACAGCAACACACCTGCAATCTAGTGAGCAAGACTTTGGTTCAGTAACAGGAGCCAAGAAAGAGGCCCTATTGATAACTGTATGATTGTGTAAGTTAGGTCGAGCATGGAAGGACACAGGGAGGCACTGGGTACAGAGTGTAAGCCAAAGGGGAGTAATGGAACATCTTAATAAGAAATGTCTTGGTACAAAAACTCCCTAAAAACTAATGCACATACCGACCTAGGTTCAGGACCAGGTCAGAATTGACAGCATGAAGGATAGTAAGTAAGCCCCCCCTTCCATAAGGTGAGGGGTGGTAACTAGGCAACAGAGGGTGGTAACCTGGTGCGTAAAGAAATGATGTAAGTTGTTTGTACCTGTCTATAAAAGGACACCGCAGAGGGTGCTCTCCGGCCGACCTTGGGGGGGGGGGGGCGCGCTAGGCGCCTGAACGGCAGGTGTCATTGCCTAAACTTACAGAATACACAGTAGCTTAACTTTGACTAAGTGCTGTTAATATCTGATATATGGCAATAGGCCTGCCCGGTGTTGGTACCTTGTCAACGCAGGCCATAGTGCCCAGTGGTGTAACATTGTACTGATCTCTGTTACCAACTGGTAGAGCTTCGCATTTGACAATAAACCTGCTCGATTGATTTCAAACCTTGCCTGCATCTGTCGTTTCTGGGGCCTCTCAGAGATCTCTTGTGTTGACCCAAGTGCACGGGGTCTAATACTCTAGATAAAGGGAGTACTGATTGTTACGCACGCAGCCGAAAGTTTATCAATGGAGTAGAGGTCCTGTTAGGAGCGCACCAGGACAACCCTGACCAGACGACACTGACAGTCCAGACCACCGAAGGTACCAAGGTACGAGAACACCGAGGTACGACAAAGAGTTCTGAAATTTAAGAGTGTCTAAATCCCAATGGTCTGTCAAGTCAATCTCAGGAAGTTATGGCTGAATTCATATGAACCCTTACCAGAGTTCCAAAAGTGTGGCTAATCTGCAATCATGAGGTGCAACTGCAGCGCATGTAGACATGCCGGAGTTAGCTGGGACACTGCGGCAGGGAAACAGTGGCAGCACGGATTGTGCAACCTGCCCTGAGCCACGGGCTGCTACAGCGTCACTACTTCCCTGTGTGAGCTTACCCCCTTAGGCCTACACAAGCTGCCATCTCCCCCACTGAATGTAAAGCTGACAGATCTAGGATACTGGCCTCCCATCTTTTAAAGCACATGATCACTTTTTGAACTGATGTCAGTCCAGGATCCACCTCAAACCCAAATAACCTTGCCCTGCCTCCTTCTGAGGCCTTGCCTCTGAGCCACTACTTCTCCAGAGCCCCACCCTGCTCACTCTGTGGAGAAGGAGTACAGGGGACACCCTGACATCAGCACCCCACTTCTTCTATCTCCCCCTCCCAGCAAGCAGAAGGCTCCCAAGGGTAGCTCCAAGGCAAAAGGCAGGAGCCACACAGAAGTGGGGGGAGGAGCAATTGAAATGCTGGCACCTGATAAACTCCCAGCCAAACCAGTCATGGGCTCCAGGATCTACCAGTAGTTCCTGATCAACTGGTTGGTGATCACTGCCCTGGGACACACCAATCACAGTAATACGAATAGAACTCCTACAAGGCAGAAACATCTGCTAGTTTCTCTATCAAGTTCCGTCAGCACGATCCTTAAATACCGCTATTCTCAAAGGTTTACAACTCAGCAAAAAACCTCACACACATTTCCAAAGCTGCAGCCATTTAAGATGCCCATCAAAGTCTTTCTGTATTGTTGAACTTAAAGAGCATTGTTTCATAGGTCTTTATCAAATTAGTTAAGCAAATCTATTCTGATATTAAAAGGCTATATATGAAAAGCAAGTTTTCATACTTCATGCCTTTTTCTATCTGTTAATACACGGAACTGTGAGGGCACACTCATTAGTACGGGGCACTGTCTGATGCATCAGTGTTATTGGATCAAGAGATAGATCATCTTGTGGGTTAGTATAACTAATGTTTCACTTCTGCAGACCACGATGCAAACCTGATATATTAGAGACTGTAACACGTTTTACTATCTCCTCATAATTTCTAGTGGCCATTGAAAGCCATCACAACTCCCAACCAGAGCTTCCATTAGCATGAAATCTTGGGTCTCTGAACCTTCAAGAACTCCTTGGAAGAGATTTACTTTAATCTTGCATTTTCATGCCTCAGGCACACTACCGTGCTTCTACTCTGCTCTATGCCAAAAAAGCATAAAGAAGCATATTTAGAGACAGCAGTATATAGGGCGCCTACAACAGTCAGGAAAACACAGAACTGATGGTTACTGGCAGTGGATAGAAGGTAATTTCTTTAGAATTCCATGAGTGTGTAGATACTGGACTTAATTCCTTGTTTTCCCGCTGCACACAGCCTGCCCCACACCCCATCTGGGAACCATCCGATAGCATTCCAAGAGTTGATCTGAAGAGAATTCTATATAGCAGTGGTCCCCAACACGATGCCCGCGGGCGCCATGGCACCCACTGGGCCATTTCTGTGCGCCTGCCCAGTGATCGGAGCCAGCCCTGCTCCCAGGCGCACGGGCGGTGCCAGCCCCTGGGCGCATTGGTGGCGCTGGGCCTGGGCGCGCAGCACATGGTCAGTGTTGGCCCTGGGCGCGTGGCAGTTAGGCAGCCCCGTCCCCGGGTGAGCGGCGTGAGGGCTGTGCCAGCCCTGGGCTTGCAGTGTATGGGTGACGACGACCCCGGGGTGCAGCATCGGGGCGGCGCTGGCCCTGGGTATGCAGCACATGGGCGGTCCTGCGGTGCATGGGCGCTGCCGCCTCCTGGGAACGTAGCTCCGGGCACACAGCGCATGGATGGTGGCGGCCCCGCCCCCGGGCACGTGGGCTGTTCTGGCCCTGGGCGCGTGGCGTATGGGCGGCCCCCCTCCTAGGCGTGCAGCACAGCTGCAGCACCAGCCCAGGGAGTGCGGCGTATGGGTGGTGCCAGCTCCGGGCACGCAGCATATGTGTGGCCCCGCCCCCAGGTGCCTAGCATGTGAGCAGCCCCGCCCCCAGGCGCCTGGCAGCCCCAAAAGGTTGGGGAACACTGCTATATAGGATCAAGGTTTCATCTGGATGCTCTAGGACTGCAATTTTTCACCTTATTCAAGATGCCCCCTTACCCTTTATTTCAGGGATTCAAACTTTTGTACAAGGGATGTAAAATCCCATTTAACTGGTTAACCAGATTAAAATTATGTTCAAATGGTTAATCAATTAAGGGGAGGGGCAGGGCCCCCTTGCAGCAGACAAGGGCCATCCCTGTCCCACAGGGCTACTGCCTGTGATGGGCGCCACAGGGCTGAAGCAGTCCCCTATAAAGCATGAGGCTTACTGATTAACCATTCACATCCCTATTTTGTACCTCAAGGATCTCCTCTTAATAGAGATGTGTGGCCAGGGTTACCTCCCCTCCCACTTATGATCATATTACATTTTTCTAGCAACTTCTGCAAATACATGCATGGAAAAGTAATATTACTAAATCCACAGTGTAGTTTAGCTGTCTTTAAAGTAGGCAGATCTGTTGCAGGGGCCTCTTTTCCTTCTCATACCCTGTCACTTAATTCGTTCTCCTCCTTCTGCTATACTCCTGAATTTCCTCATTCCCTTCTCCCTCCGACAGTCTTGGCCGGAGGGAGGCTGGCACCTTCATTCTTACAGATGTGTCCAGATCTGAAAGAGGTTCCAGTTTCCTCTCTTGCTCCTCCCTCACAGCTCTAACCCCAATCATAAGCTACTACAGCTACATCTACACTGCCTCAGATAAACTACGCAACTCCCGCTACATGAGTAACGTAACAGAAGTCAACATGCCTTAGTTCAATTTACCCCTGGCTCAGCGCCATGGGAAGTTGACCAGAGAAACTCTCCCATCAACTTCCCTCACTCTTCTTGTCCAGAGTAGAGTAACAGGGTCCAAAGGAATCTGTGGTCAATTTGGCAGGCCTTTGACCTGCTAAATCAACAGCTCATGGATCGATCTTAGAGCAGTAATCCAGGATGTAGTGTAGATATAGCCAAACTGCTATCCTCTCTCATCCAGCTGGCTTGAGCTGCCTTCTTGTCCTCCTTTACACTGAAGAATCTAGACTTCTAGGCTGTCTCCACTCACGGCTTCTTCCATGAGTAATGTGCAAATGAGGCTAAGTGTGGAATATCACTGAGCCTCATTTGCATACCTAATGAGCCACCATTTTTTTCAGAAGAGGCTCTTGCGCAAGAAGGAGCGTCTACAAGGCCCCTTCTTGTGCAAGAAAAACCCTCTTGCGCAATGCCGTTACACCTATTACTGGACAGGAAGAACAACATTGCGGAAGAG